TTTAATCGAGTTTACTCGAGCATGTAAACTGATGCGCGCTGGCAGTCTTGTGCATCGTGTGCATTAGTGGCCCAGAGCATGGCGGTGCTGCGCTTTGAACTAAAACATGCTTGGTGCACTTTGAATTAAAGCACATTGAATGTGTTTTGGTGCAAAGTGCAGCACCACAACCCTTTTCTCAGCGCTGATATGCACTGTGTCAGGAGTACATGTAAAAATGCCCTATGAGACTCCATCTGCAACCAATGTGAGCTAGGCTTATTGGAGAGCTCTGGACCAATTCCCCATGTTGTAACACTGATAAATTAAATAGGTTTTTCTCCCAGCTCCAATATGACAGCTGGGTCTTGCTCTTAGACGAGGCTCTGTCTGAATGTGGGCAAGTGACTTCCCTCTCTCTTTGTTTCTTCCCCCATCCTTTTTTTGCTTTTCACTTACTAGGTCTTGGAGATACAGTATCCAACTTAGTTGGTGGTGTGTCAAAGTGGTACAAAGCTGATTTTCAGTTCCCATCTTCAGACCTGAGACCTTGAACTTCTCCTAGGAATGGAGATATGTGCTAAATCAGCAATCTGTAAAATGTTGGTATTGTCCAACCTCCTGCAGTATTGGAGGAGGGATCATTTTGAGGCAATGTAGATGAAAGGTAGTAAAAAAAATTGGATAGGTTTGGAAAGATGGATTTGTTTAACAGGATATTTAACTTCAAATTAAAGCCTAATAAAAATGTTTGAGGCACGTGTTTGCTGTTTCAAATTATCCAAGTTGGTTGGATGGGGAAAGTTGCTGCCTGAGCTCTTGGAACCAGAGTTTGAAGTGCTAACATTGAGAGAGAGCCATCTGTATATCGATAGGTGGATGTTAGCACTTCATAGAGAGATAGATAGCTCTCTCTCAATGTTAGCACTTCAAACTCTGCAAACTCTGCTCTGGTTCCAAGAGCTCAGCCAGCAACTTTCCCATCCAGTTAACTTTTGATATTTCAAGCAGCAAATGTGCCACAAATGTTTTCATGAGGCTTTAATTTTTAAATAGTTTTAATTTTCTGAAAGTGGCTACTAAGGGCCCTACAGGTTCTTCCCCTGCCTTCCCCAAAAATTGAACTAGAAAACTTGGGTGCAATACAGTGATTTAGTCAAATTTTAAGATACTACTGTAGGAGTTTAAAACAAGATTTGCTACTCCCCTCTCCCCCCGCATGCATGGATTAAAAACTACCCGTGAGAAGGTAAGACTCATTCTAAAATCTTTTACATTTGTTGTTAGAAACGCACTCAGTTCAGATTTAACGGTTTCTAGACTCAAATCTGTCTTGTCACTGTATGTATTGCATACTTAACTTTTAAAAGCTGTGTTAATCCACTTTTTTCAAAACTCTTCTTGCCCCCTCTTAACAGAACTTGAACCAGGATTTCTGTGTTGGTTTTTTGTTTTTTCCTTCTGTAATCCTCTATTTGGAAGGAAACTGAAATATGCCATTGCTCACTCCACTTACAGTAAAACTTAAGCAATATTGTTTAACTTATTCTTCAATGTGTAGAGGAACAATGAAGCTTACACTTGGTTGTGCTTGTGTACAAGGAAGCTGCAAGTTGCCTTGTTTTTTTTGAGGCTAGTTCCCTTTAAAAAGTTGTCTTTTAAAAGTTTCCTAGAGTCTCGTTCTGCCTGTGTGTGTTAAGTAACACCTGAAATGGATTTTATTAGTTGATTTAAAATCTCCTTGGCTTTTCGCCTATAGCAACGAGACCACCGGTATACAATTGCAAGGCTTACAGACAAACCTATACCAATCCAACTTGGTCAGCACAGGCCTGTCTGTGCTGCTATGGAAGCAATTTCTCGAGCTTCCTTCACCCCAGATTCGTAGACCCCACTTATCTGTGCTGCTGAAATCTGTTTTGATCTCTTATTCTTGCCTAGGGAGGGAACGGCCTGCTGACTGGAAAATAACATATTTTTCTTGTCTTGCAAAGCCTAATTATAACCCAGAAAAAACAACTCGCTTGATCTCTTGCAAACTAAATGTGAGGGGGGAGGAGGAAAAAGCTTTGAAACCAGGAAAAGGTTGGCATTGGATTGGAGCTTTCAAGTCTGAGATCCTTTCTTTCTTCAGCCATGCTACTCCATCCGTGGTAGTAAAGATGAACTATCTGGCATGCACCGTACAAAGCCCAAGAGCCATTGCTGTTGGTATGATAACAGCTGGAGGTGTTCTGCAGACTTTGCAGAGCCTTGGTGAGCCCAAGACGGCAGATCAATTATTAACCATGGTCACATAGGCTGAAGTCTCATTTCTTCTCTTTGGATGGACTTGGGTTGCATCTGGAAACACTCAGCCACTGCAGCTTCCACTGGGAAGCCTAACGGCAGAGCATTTGGGGATGTGCGGAGGATGCTGTGGTTTTGGAGACCGGCCTCTCTACAGGGGTCAGAGCACACCAGCTGAGCGTGCAGTGACCCGAAGGGAAGCCAGAACTCGAGCCCAAAAAGGAAATGCAGTGGCGTTGTTTTCTCTCATTGGGGTTGGGACTAGAATAGCACCAGGAATGGGGGATTGGAAGGGGCCACTGAGGACAGTCCCTGCATTAGCAGGCAATCCAGGTCCATGGCTTCCAGGAAATCCTTGCATCAAACTGTCTTGCACAATGCCGCAGATCACCAACACCTCCCTAGGCCACCTGTAGGTGAAAGGAAGGGCAACCAGGGCACTGCCAGTGCTGTATCCTTGCCTGCTGGCCTTGTAACAACCAAGAACGTGTATGGGAGGGGATCAGATGTTGGCACGTGGAGAGAAATCCACCTCTTGGTTTGACAAGTGCATCGCGGTGGCGGTGCTCTTCTTCCGGATGAAGGAAACCACTTGCTCTCCCAGCACTTTCTCCCCTGCAAACAACCTTCTCCCTTCCACTCCGTCATGCAGCTCTGTGCTAGTGTGGGCGCAGGATAAGAGCCCAGCCCCCAGAAGCTGCACAGCTCATGTCTAGCCTCAGTGGTTTGGTTCCCTCTTCTTTTTCTTTCCTTTTCACCTCCCCTATACCCAAGCTGTCCTGCTGCTTGCTCCCTTTTGCTCTTGCTGTTCCCGTAAGCACCCTTTCAGCTTCTCGTCTGCCTTCCACCTGCATCCGGCTCCCGGCTTTTCTTCTTTTTTCCAAAATCATAGAATTAAAAAAAAAATTGTGTTAGCACTTCAAGTTCTTAAGGATCTACGCCTGAACTCCCAAGTCTCTATCCTAACCTCTGATTGCACCCACCTTGTATTGTACAAAGGAGGGCTAGGTTGAAAGCAATTAGTGCTACAGGATTTTTTTTTTTCTGGCTGATTTTTAAAATTGCAGTGCTAGAGCTAAACTTCTGCTCTCTGATCTAGAAGCCTGGGGAAGGCCCAGCCCCTAATGATCACAGGCATATTTCTCTTGGACTTGAAGATCCAGAACTTCGATACTGAACTCTTTTTGTTTATGCCCCTGGGAGGTTTTGCTTGATGGGTTTCTTCGTGTGCAGCATTAGGAGTGGCAAAGCGCTTTCTTCTTTTAGTGCCCAATTTATCTTGGCTGCAAGCTCAGTGTGCAATAATATGAGAATCTGTCTGGAGGGACAGAGGTGCAAGGACTTCTTAAACAACCAGAGTTATGATACAGAAAGGGAGAGACCTTCTGAATGCGAGTTGCTGCTGGAGCTAGGTCTGATTTTGCTCAGCTGCTGTTACAAATTCTTGTTGCATCTGCTTCCAGTGCAGACTAAAGACTATATTGGACTCGAGTAGCAAAAGGAAATGTCACTTGTGTCTCAAGAGCCTGTCGCCAGAAACTGCAACCCAGTTTTGCAGACCCAAGATCCCAGGGAGCCTGGAAGGGAAGCTACTGCATGTAACTGATATGGCTCCATTTATAGTTGCTAACAATAAATATGCTTTTAGTTATCGCTACATAAGTACTGGTATCATTCATATTTAGCTAGCATTTTTTTTTTTTCCTTACTCAAACTGAGGCTGATTGAGACCCTGTCTCAGTCTAAGGCCATGAGTATCATAATCCCTGACTCTGCTCTCATCAGCAACAGATCCCTTACATCTGCACTGTGTAAGAGGGGAGTTATGTCAGTACATGGGTTCAGTCGCATAGTAAAAGCAATGCCTGCTGAGGGGCAAATCTTAAGGGTCAAGAACTCCTCCATCAGCGAGAACCTGGCAATGATACTGGATGTGGCTCAAGACCCGTCTGGCACCTAAAATTCCCCTGGAGGTCTCATTTGGGTGCAATAGTCTTTGCTTGCTGTTTACTGCTGTACTTGGCATATAATTCGACTTGCAGCAGAGGGGCAGTGCTTCGAAATTGTATGAAAATTCAAGGAATTATGATCATGGATCTAACTTTAAATATGTATTCTGAGTCTGTATTAACATGCATGTAGAAGATAATAAGCCTGAGAAATGGCCATCCTTGGTTTGATACTATTCTACACAAATCCATTTAATGTCACTTTTTGAAGCGTGACTGGCCTTGTGGGTAATGGGGAAGCAGGAGATGGGCTCTTGCTTTTTTTTTTTTTAAGTCTCTTTTTGATGCTATCCCATGTGGCACTTTCTCATAAGCAGACTATGGGGAAATGTGATCTAAATGCACCCATTCTATGGTGACTTTGAGCTAATCATAGAAAATTTGGGCTGGAAGGGACCTCAGGAGGTCATCTAGTCCAACCCCCTGCTCAAAACTGGACCATCCCCAACTACATCATCCCAGCTGAGGCTTTGTCTATAGCATCGTAGAAAATGTGACTTTCACCTGGTTGAAAAATGGCTCTGAAACCATGATTGCCCTGCTACCAAACAGGCAGAGCAATTTATTGTATTCGCTCTGGAATAATGTCTGTCTATGAAATTTTAAATAAATAAAGCAGCTTAACAAGTAAAGTTGGGGAGGGGAGTCTATTGAAAGCTTGGTTCTAGTTGGGATTTTCAGTAACCGAGCAGAACCCTTTCTGTACCTATCCTGTTCTCTCAGGTGATCCTCCACAAGCTGCTGCTTGGATCGGCCAGTGCATCCTCTACTTGCTGATAATGGTCTTTGAGAAGACTGTGATCAGCCTTGTCCTGCTCATCCCTGGTTGGACAAAGGCAAGTTCTCAGCTGTTTTTTGTACCCAAAGGAGTTGTGCCACTGCATTATACACCTTCAGTGCTTTATTAAGTCATACCTCACGGGGAACCTTCTGAGATGCATGAGCAAGAACCTGCATTTGGGGGAGCATTTATTGGCTGAAAAATGATACCAGAAGTAGACCATTCAAGACCCTTAAGTAGAACTGTTCAGCCTGTCCAAAGCCAAGAGCTTGTCTTTTTATGGCACCAGTCTGAAACGCTAGGACTTGGATAGAGAGAGCACAAGTCTCTCAGCTCTTCTGAGCTGTGACCTTGGGAAGATATCAGCCTAGGCACAGCTGAAGGGACACCGTAAGATGCTGATCATGCATCGAGGTACAGGCTGACTCTGGAGACTGCTGTGCTTTCTGGGTGCTTGCTTCCTAGCTTTCTTTTTTTTTTTTGCAGTGTTCAGAAGTAGTCTGGGCAGGCGGACCTCAAGGCCAGTTGTCTCTACTAGTAAGCAATCCCACGATGGCAAGTTCTGGCCATCTGGTCCTTCTCTACCCCACTTCTTCCATAAGTAGAGATGGGGTGAAGGAAGATGTAGCCCACCCATTTCTAAAGTGGCCTCTGGTTTACAAATGGCAGCATAGTCGGCTCTAACGTGAGCTGCAAGACATGATAGAGATGGCAGATCACGTGGTTTGAATTGGCCTATGCTGGCACTTAATGGCACATTTAATGGATGTGTTTACTTCTGCTTGTTGCTGTAAGTAAGATTGCAGGCTTTGGGTAACCACTAGCATTCAGTGTCCTAATCTGTTCCCACCACTAATTGTTACTGGTACAAAAAAAATTAATTCTGCGCCTGCTGAAAGAGTGCAGCTTACTCTCTGCATGTGGCTACAGAGAACAAGCGACTAGGGGTGTTTTCTCAAAGATCAGTACTGCAACCAGCTTCCTTTGTAGAAAAGACCGTGATGTCGAATTTGACCGATGTAACACAGGCTGTGAAATTTATCCAGTTACTCGGGCACGGAGTCTGTATACAGTTGATTCCTGGTAACCTGGGAATGAATATGAACTTGCTGGTGAGACAACTGTTGATGTTGAGTTATAGCATGTCTCCACTGCAATCCAGTTGGTACCTGCCTGCTGACACACAGTAAGGAATGCTTCGCCTAGGGATACCGAGCTAGGCTTTGCATTGACCTATATGAGAGTAGAGGAAGCTTAAACAGTAAGTCTGGATCAGGCTGTGTTTCTGGATTCCTTTCAGCACGCCTCATGCAAGGTGGTTGTCCTTTGTGACCAAGAAAAGAAGCCAAGGGAAATCCCACCAGTTGCTTTTTAAAGACCTGCACAGCTTATGCTTCATGAACGAATAAACATCTGCTTAGCATTCGGGTTGTCAGGAAGTATCTGGAGGGAGTGCTGTAGCTTGTTACTCTGGCTCAAGTAGAGAAGCAAGATGAAGGCTGCTGCAGCCTCTGTTACAGCTCACGGCTAATATCCCCTAGTAGAAATAACGGTTTAATAGCCTGTTTAACTTTTGTTTCCATTGCAGCTTCAGGAGCTTTTGCTGGATTACATCCCAGACCCTCAGCTGGAACTTGTCCTGGTGATGCTCATTGTGCCTTTTATAGTCAACGTAAGTGGAGCCGGAGGACCTTCCTGAAAACAGTCTGCATCGTTTATGCTTCAGCATCCTGAACGGAGATCGCTGCCCACGTAATAGGAGGCAGTTTTTACCCACAAAGGTCAGGTTGGAAAGATCAGACAAAAGACCGGAGGAAGCAAAGGCGATGTGACCAGTGTCACAACAGGCCAGTTCAGGCTAGGGTTAGTACCCCCCTCTCCTAGGGCAGCCAGTCAATTAAGCTAAAATATCTGCTGCCTACCAAACTGCTTCACGTGCGTAGCAACTGCTGTGCTGCCAACACTTTATCTGATTTACTTTCCAGCATCATTAACTGGAGGAACTTGACTTTGTAACTAAACCCCTCACTTCATACTTTGTGGGAGCTCTGTAGAGGCTGGCAGCTTACTCCATATAAGTTGTACTGTAATTGCACAGACTGAAAACAGATTCCCTACCTGGAAGAATCTACTTGGGTTGTAAAATGAGGCCAACGATTGTTTAGATAATGTAAAGGTGAGGACAGCAAAGAGCCTCGAGTTGTTTGGGGGGACTCGAGGGCAAGTTTTGTTCTCAAGTCGGTTGCTTAATAGATTGTGGCAATCTCAAGGGGTCACTTGACAGCGATTGTCTTGCTGTAGTGATGGGAATTTCATTTAATTGTGAAGCATTTGGATTTCCTTTCCAGCAGGTCAAGAGGTCCCAGGCATTCAAAGTGTTAGTTGCTGCCGATCATGAACTCTGGTTTTGCTGAGTGAAGATTTCCACCACCCCCCTCCCCCATGGGACTGTAGTTTGCACGTCTGTCTCCAAACTAAATACAAATTACAGACCCTTTCTCCACTTCTGCACCCTCCAAGCCAACACTGCAGGACGAGCACATTAGATTCATACCATCATTGTATCAATGGAAAATTAAGTGTATAGTGCTATGAAATCTGGCCATGGGGAGATGCTGGATGCTGTTTTCAGATCTTCTGTTTGTGGAGATCTTGGAAATGGAAACTTTGGCAAAGTTGAGAAGCCGCCTAATGTCAAAACTGGGAAGAATCTGCTACAAGTCAGACCGTAAAGCTCCAATTTACTTTGTAAAATTACTTGGGTGGAGAGGGTGTAGAAAGGATGAATGGAAGCCAAGAAGTATGCATGTAAATAGGATAATTTAGGATCATCCTGTATGATGTCAGTCTTCTTGCTAAAAAGGATTTTTTTTAAATGGGACCTCCTTGAATTCCAGCTGGGTGTTTTAGTAGGTGTTCTCCCTCCAAAGGGCTGATATTCCTGAGTGATATTTTTCTAAACTTTTTTTTCCCCTACCAAAACTGCTGCTAGTTTAGAAAATATCACTTGGAAATAAGTCTCAAATCATTTCGTTTGGATCATAGAAACCTAAGTGGGTGGGACCAGAAATGCTCCGGTTGGTGAAATGGAAAGTCATAGTGCAGTGTGATTTGACATGCTATAGCGATGGAGGTCCTGTGCACAGCCTGCTGGGGGTTGAAAAGTTTTCTATCCGCCTTAACTTGGGATGTATAGAGTTTTCCTCAAACTTTGTGCTTGTTCCACTCAATGTTGCATGCATCCTAGCAAGTGTATTAGTGTCTCATGTAGGTGGTAGTTCATCCCAGAAGCTGTAGAGCCACTCCTTTGGTCATGCCAGGTCAGTCTCCTTACACTGTATAAGGCTGCCCTTTTTAGAAATAACTTTTCCTCCTTTTTTTTTTTTTTTTTTTTTTTTTTTTTTTTTTTTTTCCTTTCTTCAAGGCCCTTATGTTCTGGGTTGTAGACAGTTTGATCATGAGGAAACACAAGCAGAAGGACAGCCTTGACCTCAGCGGGTCCATAGAAACCCCTCGGACTGTGATGACCGAAGAATCCCAGGTAAGAGCAAAGAACGCGCTGTGCAGATATGCCTACGACAAACCCTCTCTAGGGCTGCTTTTCGGATTAAGGATTGATCTAGGCAATGTGCCGTATCCCTGCGATGGAGCTCCAGACCCTCCCCACAGCTGTGCAACACCACGCTTCCTTATACCTTGAGAGAAGTTATGAGCCATGTTGCAAAAATGTAGGTGTCGGGGCATAAGGGTAGGAGTCCCTTCTCAGTTGCCCCTTGTACACATTTTAGTCTGACACCTGCAAGCTCTTCAGTCCAAAGGGCAAACATTAATCAGTGACCAATTGGTTTGTTCCCATTATTTGCTTATACAAAAGTTCACTGGACATGTATAGCGTCCATACCTCTGACTGGGTTTTCGGTCAAGGCCACAAGCCAAGCTGCTGCATCTAATCCTTTCCTTCCTCCTGACCTCCAGCCCCGCTTCATAAGTGCTGTGCATACAACTTCTAACTTCCTGCCATGCATTGGTAAGATCAGTGAAAACTTGTAAAAGGAGTGAGGCTGGCATCTAAAATTGGCTTCCGCTGGTAGATTTAAATTCCTCTGGAGGTAGACCTGTGCAAGGAGTGCATTTTTCTTTTTTTTTGTCCGTTGGACCCACTAAGCTTACTTGCACTTATGGCATTTAGCATTAAGACTAAATCTGATAATGGCTTATACATGGAAGTATACGATGAGCTGGCAAGTGTTGGTGCAACGTAGGCAAGAATTTTAGCCTGGAAATGTGCTGCTGTCTGTATTGGATAAGCTCGGTTTTCAAGGGTACGTGGCATAAGAGAGCAGTGGTTCTCAACCTTTTTGGACTCGGTGCCCCCTCCCATAACTTGTGAATTGAGTGGCACCTGATTTCAAAAAACTACTCTATGTATTACAGTGCGTCCCTCCTTTATGCAGGGGCTTGGCAGTAAGGGTATGGGATTGTCTAGGCAGGGACAAGCCCGAGCCTGGGTTTACTGCTTATCCCCTCACTCCTCCCAGCACCTCTTTAAAAAACCTGGTGGCACCCCAGGGTGTCTTGGCAGCCTGGCTGAGAATTGCTGTATTGAGAATTTCTTTTTGTATGGAAAAGAGGCAGAAAAGTGTTTTTTAAACTCATCAGGCAAAGGAATGGCACACGCCTGGCCTGTGTACCTCCTTGGATGAAAGCTGAGTTGCTCCCCAAGAACACAACTGGGTGGGGAACCCATCCTTTCACAGGAGTTAAAGCAAAGCAGGTTTGATCTGGCTGCTTGTTTTACTTTAGCTCTTAGTTCAAAGTGTGACTCTTATGCTAATCTTTTTAAAAGATCTGTATGGACACGCCTATATTTAAAAAAAAAAAAAAAAAAAAAAAGTCAAAACTAATTAATCATCTTGAACCAACTAGACAAATACTTTGTTCAGATCATAGCATACTTCTGATCTCTGACCTGTGGCTGCTGCTGTTCACGCTTTCTTTCCATTGTAGTTGGTAGAGTTGGCTTTGGAAGGCTCTTTTAGGGGATTTAAATCAGTCCACGCTTGTTGTGGTAGATGGACACCTGAACACTACTTTTCTTGCTCTTGCAAGTTGAAAGCCTTGTTTTAAACAAGTGTAAAGTTGTTCTAATTGTGCGGGCCGGGAGCAACCCGAGCCCTTTTCTGCGCTGCACGCGGGCTGTGACCAGCAGCCTGGGCACGCCGGGGTGGAGAGGGAAGGCCTTCGAGCTGGAATTAGGCACAAACGCGTATCGGTAGTTTTAAGGATTATTTACTTACACCGAGATGGCAGTGGTGCAGGCTGGAAAACTTGCTTAAGTTGCGGTTACAGATAGACAACACAGACGGTCTCGTGGAGGTTGCTAGGCTCCACGGTACAGAGCTCCGGATGCTCTGGGTGAACGAGCCACCAAAATCAGAATCGTAAATACGTCTTATAAAAGTTGCGCTCGAAGACGGGAAGAGGTGGGCGGTGGATCAGGGCGCCAAACTCCTCTGGATCTCCGACA